TCAAGTTCAGTTCGGTAAACAAATTTACCTGCAAGTCGGAATAGCACCGGCTCGGGCCTTGGCGCCTGCAACCAACGCTTGGGAGGTAAAGACCAACTCCCATTGAAGGCCCCATCGATGAGCATTTACTCTTCCAGCTGCTTCTGTACATTGGTTGAACAAGAAGGTGCCTGAAGAGGAGGATACTTGAGCACATACCGACCTCACTACATAAGGGTAAAACTAGAACGACCTCGAGTTCTATTCTCGCGCCCACCTTGTCGATACAAATCACTGATTCACTCCTAATGAAGCCTTTCTGGGTGTCTACCGGACACGAGCCAACTTCTCTAAGGAGTCTACACCAACGGGTGCTAGCAACAGCCGAGGTAGTGGCTATACGACTAGCGAATCCAGTGCTGTGTTGTCAGAAGACTCATCGCTTCCGTGGACGACGCCAGGTGGCGATGACATGTCGCCCCCACCCCCTATTGACAGTTGTTCACTCCGTGCATGCGACAGTGATTTTTTACTCTGCGTTCTCGGACCAAACAAGCAAACAGTCTCCTTATTTACCCCCTCTCCCAGCACAGTGACCTCTAAATGCTAATCCCACCGTGCGAGCGGCGCGAAAACGAAGAGTTTTCATCATAAGACATTTATTAACCCAACTTGCCCAACTCCACTATTTTCATTATCAATGCAACTGTACAGACCCGATGATGAATTGCCGTGAGCATATTTTTGCCAAATAGAGTGTTCGCGTTAAACATGGGAATATTTACAGAACTTTTCTTACGTCACGTTTTATTTTTTTTAATAATTTGCCCTGTCTACTGCTACTTCTGCACTCTGCACAGACTCTTATCTCAAGGAAGCTGAAGGAGTGCACGTCAATTGCTACAGTGGCCACCGGCTCAACCGCACCTGTCCTGATGGATCAGCCCAGCTCAACTCGTCCAGATACCAGCCGGCAGCGTAAACAGAGTCACAGTCACCTCGCAAAACCTACGTCAATGACTAATTTGACGGCTGCCAATAATCCGACCCCAAGTCAGGCACCGGCTCCCCGCCAGAAACAGTCGCCGCCCCTGAGTTCCGACGTTAACGACGCCTATGTGAGCGCCATGGTTGCCATCCGAGCCGGTCAACTCACCAAGGCTCTGGAATTGGTGAGTATCCTTCTTAGCGCGCGACCTTTTTGGGTATTTTAGTTGGCAGAGTATTTCAACCGTCCTTTTGGAAGCCAGGTCGTGTGTATGACACGCCTAGACGGGCCATTTAGCCTCGTAAGTCGTTGTTCCCGCAGCGCATACCTTCGGTTGTCTGGACACTTTCAATCGGACCAAGGCGGATGGGGAGAGGAGGGAGTACTGTAGATGCCTCGCGGGTCTGCCTCGCAGTGGACTTGCCTGCACGTGCATGTCACTGTTGTTACACTCATTCTGTGGCGCACGCGGTGGCCGTCGCCACCTGCCCGGTCGAACTGCCGTGTGTTTGCCGGTCTAGTTTATCCGTTTTTATCTCCTAAATGGGCTGCGCGGTAGATGTGCTGGACCAACATTGGAGGGTTTCAAATTCGAAATTTCATTTTCCTTACTAGGAGCTCCGGGCAGTTCTGGGATCTAAACAGAGGATTTTGGAATACAAAAAAAGATGGTTATACATATCCAGTTATCTCAGGGGGGGGGGCTTTTAGAACAACAGTTTATACTCAGATGTGGAGGATTATTATGGTCAGACTGTTATGGGAGTTCTGAACATCCATAGTCTGTTCTAAAACTAAGCCACATTGACGCATCCTTCTGCCGGGTAACAGAATATTCTCTAGTCTAATAACCGGTAGATTTCGAGTTCATGGCCCGGATCTTACCGGAAACGGCTCCTCGACGATTGCCCAATCGCTGAAGGCGAAGAGTTCACTACTGATCGTTCAAAGATCCCGTGGTGTTGAAGTGCGAAGTGTGGAGAAGCTATGCTTGGTCATAAGAGCAAATTATTTCATATGACTTAGACAGTTGGCTAGTGCGACAGAAGCCAGACCTATTAGCTGATCGGACTCCGTCAACTAACAGAAATGTCGCGGTTAAGTCGAAAATTGAACGTCCGTTGTCTGTCCTAAAACCAGGCCATGTCGACGCATCCTTCTCCTGTACGACGAAATATTCCCGATCATAGTCTATTGGGCGTGAGTCTGATAACCGGCAGAATCGAATTTGTGCCCCGGGCATTTTTGGTTCGGGATTGTCGACGATTGCAACTGTGCTAGAAATTGAAAAGTGTTCATTTATCGTCCTTTTGGCTTTGTAGATTGCTAGCATGTTTTTTTTCTTGACTGGCAACCGGTGGAAGCTGGTTTCTAAAGAATTTTATATACCAAAGTAAGATCTGTCTGGCAGTGTTTTGCAACACCCTGTTGGAACTCCCTTGGCGGCTATCCCTAGGTAGCCCACTCAGGGTCACGAGTGTTATTATATCAGTGAATAG